TACTGCCCTGGGGCCCCTGCAATAGACCTAAAGTGCACAGCCGGGGTCGCTTCACGTGCCCAACGCGCTGGCATGCTTGCGTGGATGGCAGCTGAGGTGGTTTCAGATCTGGCCAAAGACAGCGCAAGCTCTGCAGGATCGTACCTCGGTGGAGCCGCGAGCACTATTTCAGAGGCAGCCACTTCGGTAGGTGGCGCACTGGGTGGAGTGGTGATGTCTTCTGCTGATTCCGTATGTGTATTTTGGAATTGGCTGTCTCAGCCAGCGCTCCCTTCCAAGTAGACGGGCTGACGGCTGACCGCGCGATCCGCTGGCAATCATTAGTTAAGTTCATTCCACTGCAGTGCTTGGTGCGAACTTACTATTATGTTGCCCTGTTGCCCAGCTTGTTTTCCGGTCGGCTGTTGTTGCAGCCTGCCAGTGCACCTGCGCATGACTGCGTGCTGCGGTGTCTGACAGTGAGCTCGAGCCATGCCACCGTGCAGCTGCCAGAAAATATGCCGGTTGGAATGTGATTGTTTGGAAATCATTGGTTGTTCGTGCTCAGCATTCTCCTTGCCTTGCAGGTGCTCTTGCCCCTCAGCGTCTCCTGATTTGCCTGGCCCCTGGCCTGGCTGCAAGCTGCACTCAGTCAGATTTGATGCCACGTTTGGGTGGGCATTTGTGCGTGCATGTTTGGGCGCTGCAGGTCTGAATGCGCCCTATCGTCGTCTTCAAATTCGGGATGGAGTCCAGCGTGGCACGGTCGGGTGCCCAGGGTGCAGATGGGGTGAGGTCTTACTCGAACAACTGTTGTTGCCCTGGTTTGTGCATTGCTACATGTTTGGAGCTCACTCTTCTGCGGAATCATTTCTCAAGGACAGACTGTGTCGGCTGCCGATGAAATGCCAACACCAAATCCTAGATGTGAATGTGACTGTCACACCTTAGACACCTTACTTGGTGCACGTGGCAGGTTGCCAGTCAAACTTAGAAGTTTAGAGGCCTGGGCACTGCTAGTCACAAGGCCGCCAAGGCCTTCATGGCATTACCCAACCTAGCCAGCAAAATATAAGGGTGCCATGGATCCGCCAAACACTCCGTGGCCGCGGCCGCTGCTGTTCGGCATGTCCTACCGCAACCCGAACCAAGTTCGGGGCCAACGGAGCCAAGCGAACCCTGCCTCAATTAATGATCTAGTCCTTCTCAGGCGCTCATGTCACTGACTGCTGTTGCAATTCCTGCTGTTTCTTTTGATGCATGCTATGCTCAGGGACAGAAAGGCTCGGCGTGCTGCGGGCCAAACCGGCCCGCAGTTCAAGCCGGTGGTGCCGGTGAAGTACCCTGAGAAGGTTCAAATCTCAATCATTGCCCGCATGAGCTGAGCTGGCTGGAGTGTGTCATACTCTGTGCGTTTTGAGACCTTCCATTAAGCGATTCCAAGGCGGTCCCCGCAGCTCCTCCTGGTGATGCTTGTTTGAATGGACTGATCTTTGTTCACAAGTGTTTGTGTGTGTGTGTGTGTCTGTGTCATTCTTGCAGCATGTATTCATGTACTAGCCAGCTTAGGCTTTCGCTGTCGCTGTCGCTGTCGCAAAGGGTCATGAAGCTCCAGACGCAAAGGCAGAGGCCTCCAGGATGCACTGCAAGTTTGCGGACTCTTAGCAGCGGCAACCTCTACCATGGTTGCCCTTTTATCCTTAAAGCCTTAAGCTCAGACTAAGGTTGTTGCCATGGCTCCACCGCCGCCTTCATCGAAGGTGCAAGTTTCCACCGATTTCAACCTTCAAATGTCGCTCATCCATACCCATAGATGTGCTTTCAGGTGTCTGGCGAGTCTGGTGCCGACCCTGTCGCGACCTGTCTCGTTTCAAAGTCAAAGGCCAGGTCTTCTGCCTTCATCCGAAGATGCATACGCCCGCGCACATGAACTTGTCTTCCTGGCAGGCAACCGTGCCTGCACGCGTGGTGCATGTGGCCGAGGCCAGGGTCTGGCATGATGGACGGAGTACGGAGGTGCTTGAACACGGTCATGCCCTCATATTGAAAGCCTAAAATCCATTTTGTGGCAGGAGGCAGAAGTCCAAGCTTCTCCTGCTGCCGGTCCAGAGCCGAAGCCAGCTGCTGAAGAGGCCTGGCCAGGGGAATTCATACTTTAATGGAACAACGAGATTCATTGCCTCGTTGAGACCTTGAGATTTATTGATGGCGTCCATAAGTCTGTCTGCTTTCCTGGCAGGCGCATCCGGCTGCAGCGGTGGCGGATGTGGCCAAGGCCAAAGCCAGGGTCAGGATTATCATGGTGCTTGAATTTGATCAGGCCCTCATCTCGGCAAATCCACTTTCGTCGGTTAGTGACCTTGACTAAACCCCAAGGTTTGCTTTGCTTTATGGCATTTGGCATTTGTCTTCCTGGCAGGCAACCGTGCCTGCGCCCGTGGTGCATGTGGCCAAGGCCAGGGTCTGGCATGATGGACGGAGTACGGAGGTGCTTGAACACGGTCATGCCCTCATATTGAAAGCCTAAAATCCATTTTGTGGCAGGAGGCAGAAGTCCAAGCTTCTCCTGCTGCCGGTCCAGAGCCGAAGCCAGCTGCTGAAGAGGCCTGGCCAGGGGAATTCATACTTTAATGGAACAACGAGATTCATTGCCTCGTTGAGACCTTGAGATTTATTGATGGCGTCCATAAGTCTGTCTGCTTTCCTGGCAGGCGCGTCCGGCTGCAGCGGTGGCGGATGTGGCCAAGGCCAAAGCCAGGGTCAGGATTATCATGGTGCTTGAATTTGGTCAGGCCCTCATGTTGAAAGCCTACAAAACATTTGGTGGCAGGAGGCACTTCCACCAGCGCCTGCTGGCCTTCCAAAGGTCTTCGGGCCGAGTGCAGCATCCCAGGCAAGTGGCAAATCACGGAACTGATTGTCTCATGGTTTTTAAAAACTTCTTATGTGGATGAAGACAGCGACAGTCAGTGCTCCAGACGCTTGAAAGGTGCCTCCGCCTCCTGCACCTGCTCCAGCTCCAATTCGCCCGGCACCTCCCAAGGACTGTTGATCCAGCGACTGGGGTTCATCCGATTCAGATTCAGTGCCCATGTCAGTACAGTCCTGTCATATACTTCGGTGTTTCAGCTAGGGCTTAGGGATTGCAAACTGAGAATGCTGTGACGTGAGACGTGAGACAGTCTATTGACAACTGACCATCTGTCAAGAAGCCAGCCTCCTTCACATCATTGGTCCATCGTTTTCGCAGTTTCCCCTTGATGTATGCATCCACTGCCCCTGCCAAATCCTTGGTATGTTGTTGTGATTTTTTTCTGAGCCTGACTTTGGTCAGGCCCTCATGTTGAAAGCCTACAAAACATTTGGTGGCAGGAGGCACTGCCTTCTGCGCCTGCTGGCCTTCCAAAGGACTTCGGGCCAACAGCATCCCAGGCAAGTGGCCGGTGGTATTGCAAAGACACGGAACTGATTGTCTCACTGTTTCAAAAAATTCTTACGTGGATGAAGACAGCGACAGTCAGTGNNCCAGACGCTTGAAAGGTGCCTCCGCCGCCTCCTGCTCCAGCTCCAATTCGCCCGGCACCTCCCAAGGACTGTTGATCCAGCGACTGGGGTTCATCCGATTCAGATGTTGCAGAAGGTTCAGTGCCCATGTCAGTACAGACCTGTCATATACTTCGGTGTTTCAGCTAGGGCTTCTGGATTGCAAACTGAGACTGCTGTGACGTGAGACAGTGTATTGACAAGCAGTGGCCGTGCGCTGCCTGCGTGCATAGAGACATTGACCTCCATTCATGCATTCATACACAACCAAAAAAAGGTAAATAGCCAAATGATGCCTTGTATGTTGTGGCCCCGTCCCAGGGTTTCAATACAGCGTGCGATGATATTGACGTCATGCCGCCAGTCACCGCCAGTCTTGTACATGTGCTGTTGTGGGAGGAGTCTGCTGAGTCTGCTGCGGCTCGGCCTGCTGATGCAGCAAGGGGCCAGAAGGCTGAGGCAGTGCCAATGTAACAGACGAGTTGGATAATATCCTCATTCTATGGGGCATGGCTTGAACTTGACATGACGCATGTCTCTTCAATTTCCAATCGCAAGTAGGCGCTGCCGCTGCCTTCGCAGTCGTCGCCATCGTCGCTGTCGTCCAGGGCGCCACAGGCCAATCCGGCCAATCCTTGGGCAAGAGTGCCTGGGACAGCAGAATAGCATTGCAGTCTTTCTGCTCTGTTGATGCGACCAATGGCAGTTCAGGTCTTGTGGCCGCAGTCCAACGGCATTCACACCACTCTGGACTTGCTGCCGAACCAGGTGTTTTTGGGTTGGCGGAAGCTCATTAGTCAAAGCGGCTTACCATTCTGGGTGAACGACGGGGCTCAGGTGACTACGAACCTTGGCGTTCTTTTGGTTGCCTCTTCAGACTTTAACTTGTTGGATTTGTATATCAACTATAATAAGGAAAACCAAGGTTAAACTTTTACGAGGGGTTCAGAAGTGAGCCAAGGAATGACAAGCCTTTCGTGTTTCACGCGCTGCAGAAAATCTCCCCAGTGGAGCGGTTGGGCCTTTGGAAGCGATGGACGCAGATCCATCCGCACTTGCCGCCGCGGACGTTCTGGCAGCGTGAGGACACAGGAGCAATCAGAGTCCAAGACGACTGTCCAGAGCCCGCCCCCGCTTCCTCGTCGCAGTCGTTGCCGAAAGCGTCTGGGCTACATTTAGTGTGACGAACAAGGCATGTCACTGAAGAAGATGTGGCACACCACATCTTCAATCCATTCTCCTACTTTCAGGCTGCTGCTCACGGCGCTGGAGCCACAGAAAAGGCTACTGCAGCAGCAGCCAGCAGAGCGCCTTGGCTACGTTACATTCTTTTTGTGACGCACATCCTTGCATGCAAGCAATAGCAAGTCAGTCAAAGATTATTGTTGCAAACCACATCTTCAATCCATTCTCCNNCCTACTTTCAGGCTGCCGATGCAGCCACTGAGAAGGCTTCTGCAGCAGACCGTCTCAGAGCATCTTAGCTACATTTATTTGACATGCATGCAACATGCAAGTCAGTGAAGAAGTTGTGGCCAACCACATATTCTATCCGTTCTCCTACTTCCAGGCTGTTATCGGTGCTGAAGCCACTGAAAAGGCTACTGCAGCAGCAGCCACCAGAGCGCCTGGGCTACGTTACATTCTTTTTGTGACGCACATCATTGCATGCAAGCAAGTCAGTCAAGATTATTTTTGCAAACCTCATCTTCAATCCATTCTCCTACTTTCAGGCTGCCGATGCAGCCACTGAGACGGCT